AATAGATTTTAATGTTTGCAAAATTTCAGGATTCCGATATGCTATCAAGCCATTGTTATTTGAAAAATCGTTATTTGTGGATATATATTTTACATCCGAATAATTTGTATCATTATTGATAAAACTTTCAAATTCAATAACACCTCCATTTAAAGAACATAGCAGAGCCTGGGGGCCACAAGTATCCCATTTGTATGTGGATTTTTTAGATAAAACATAAACATCAGCTTCTCCAAGAGCAACACATAAAACTTTATAACCAGCTCCTGCTGCTTCCACTAATGTGAAACCAGCATTTAATAGTTCAGATTTTATAGTAGCATCTTCCACTCTACTAAGAACTACTACCTTCTTGTCAGTAGGTTCTTTTGTTATAGAACACCTTCGAACATCATTCTGGACATATCCCCAATAACAATTTCCCGTCCACCTATTAAATAAATCATGAAATATACTATATCAATCACTATATTATTAAACAGATTAGGAAAGTAGTTACCATGTGTCCATCTTTGTATAAAAAGGTTGATTCACTACGCCTAAAACTGGTACGCCTGTACTTTTAAAATATGCTCCAATCAAAACAGTAACACAACGCAAACCACTCAAATGTATGCCAGTCACATCATCCACCTTTTCTCCTCCATGTATATAATCTGCAGTTGAATCTACAAAATTTCCACGAATTGCTCCTCAGGCAAGCTTTATTAAACTACAAAACAAATACAACATTTGACAAGTAATCTAATTCCACTACACATACAAAGGCAATGATTTCATTTAATAAGGAAAGTAAAGTTTTAAAATTGATGGCAGAGAGAGGAAAGTAAACTTAAAAAATAGAAAAATTTTAACATTTGTTTCAAACTGCTACATAAATAGATAAATATATTTACCATGAATTTTCCATGTACTATCTTACTGAGTAGAATTTTGATATTTATAATTATTAAAACTATATTAAATACAAGTAAAATCTATTCCTTTTTGGAATAATATCATAGTATCTCTTACTATTACATTTCTTACCAATTGGATCAATCCATATACCAAGGTCATCAATATTAATATCAAAATCCAAAGGTAGTTTAGTAACCATTGGAATATCTAAGAATTCAATATCCTTATGAACTTCTATGGCTAATAATTCTGCAGTCGTAATATCACTATCCATCACTTTTGCTAGCAACTCAGTTGTTTCTTCGATAGTACTACAAACTTTAATAATTATGGTTTCACCTATAGTATTACTGAATATATTATTTTCTTCTCCATGCACTTCTTTCGACAATTCTGGAAACTAATCACGGTAAGACATAATTATTATATCCATATTAGTTGAAAATTAGGTTAAACACAGTTCTATATAATTATAGTTTTTATCACTCAAATAAAAATATTTAACAAAGAATTTCAACTTACCTCTTTTTCAATGTCATGCTTAATTGTTTCTTGTATCAGAACATCTGCTAATGTTTTAAAATCTTGAAAGAAGCGTGGATTCTTCTCCTCTTGTGATTTTTCTTGCACAAGTAGTTTAAAAAGAGCATCATTCTGCCTACAAGCCCTTGCAATATTTGCAGCTTTTTCAGAAACTTTCAGGAGGATAAATAACAATCTACTGCCGTCTTTCATTTTTATGATTGTTATATTTAAAATTCTAAGAAGTTAACATTAATGAAATACCTAATAACTACTGAACACAATTCTAACGTTCAAACAGCTGTATTTGATTTTAAATATGACCTTGCACTGTTTTGCAATTTATTAAAAAAAAATTTTGGCGGGAATCTGAATAATAACGCTCATGAAAAATATTAGAACATTAACTAAACATAATCTTACCAATATAAACTGTGATGATCGACGTAAACGTTTACAAAATCAAAAAATTAAAATATCAAAAGAATCGCTCGAACATTATAATTAGCGATTGACGTAAGCGGATAGTGCGTCCATTCGCGTCTGATTAAATTTAATAACAGAATTAGAATTAGAATACGTACAAAATTCACGTAACTATAATCGTAACACAATTCTTCCTTTCATTTTGATTATTTTTGCATTAATGAAATCAATTCTTAATGCGATTATTTTTACATTCTTAAATATTTTAGATTAATATTCTTGCAATACCTTGTGGTTAAATTACGACGATTTGAATTTGTCAAATACACATTATAAAATAATAATCACACTAATATTTACACAACTATTTAAGAGTTAGAATTCGTTGAATAACAAATTTATAACCTCAATATATGTCACTTTATTTTGTAAGTATTTATAGAGTT